AGTAGAGCTCGGCCGAGAGCAGCAGCCGCGTTACTGGAGGCTTCACATGCTCCTGTGCATACTGGTCAGTATAGAAGGGCTCCCACAGCTCCGGGGGCACGTGCTCTGTGGGGAAGGGAGGGGGACACGGCGGGTCAGGGCCACCAGACACACCACATAATCACATGACCAGAGAGGGTGATGCCTGGGAGGGAGAGACGGGATCTGGGCTGAGATGCACAGGTGTGCAGCGGTTCGCCAGAGGAAGGGATGAGGACGGGTTTTCCAGGCAGAGGGGGCCTGTGGATGCAAAGGCCGGGAGGTGGGAGAGACCCTGGTGCCTTGGAGGGATGGCATGCTCTTAGACCCGAGGGGAGGGGGGGACTCCCTTCCACCTGAGGCCAGCTGCAGGGTCTTGGAGGCCCCAAGAAAGCTAATCACAATAATAATCATGATGACAAAAGCCTTCCTGTGCTCCCTGGGCACAGACTTGTTGAAGTCTTGCATCAACTCTAGAAAGCAGCCACGGCATAATTAGTAACTCTACTTTCCAGAGGAGGAAACTGAGGCACAGAGAGAGCAGGAAAGTCCCCCACCACATAGCTCAACACCAGGACAGGGATTCACACCCAGCACATTAGACATTCTCTCTCTGCTTGCAGGCTAGGGTGGACAGGCAGGTGGGCACGGCATGGGACAGGGGAGGTGGGCACCCTGAAGGCATTTTAAGGGAATTGAGTGACCTGGACTTGGGAACCGAAGGAAGGAGGTAGGGGAGAGAGAAGATGGTGCCCAGAGCCCCAGCAGATCTGAGGTGGGGATAAAGCAGGGGCAGCAGGTGAGGAGGTTAAAGCTGAGGATCACTGTCTTGGGGACATCTTTGGGGACTCGCTTGAGGTGAAGAACATGAGGGTTGGGGCCTAGGGGAGTGGTGAGGTGACATCACAGAGGGGGCCACAGATCCCAGAATAAGACAGTGGGAAAAGGCATGAGGAGGCCCACGTGGAGGGCAGAGGGTTGGAGGACAAAGCCCCAAGTAGGACCCTGCTCTTGTTCCAGTCAGCCCAGTTGTTTTCTTTTTTTTCTTTTTTTTTCTTTTGAGTTGCAGTCTCACTCCATCACCCAGGCTGGAGTGCAGTGGCACGCTCATGGCCACCCCAGCGCCGACCTGCTGGCCTCCGATGATCCTTCCGCCTCAGCCTTCCAAGTAGCCAGAACTACAGACACGCGCTACCACGCCCGGCTAATTTTTTTTATTTTTTGTAGAGACGAGCTCTTGCCAAGTTGCCTGGGCTGGTCTCGAACCCGCAGGCTCAGGCAGTCCACTTGCCTCTGCCTCCCAACACTGCCGCCGCCGTGTCCAGACTCAAATATATTTTGAAGCACTAGAACCCCTCACTCCGTTCTTTCCAGCCCATACAGAACCTCGATATACAAAACAGCCGGGATAGCTGGGCTCAGTGGCTCAGCCTGTAATCCCAGCACTTTGGGAGACCCAGGCAGGAGGATCGCTTGAGGCCAGTTCAAGACCAGCCTGGGCAACATAGCAAGACCTCATCTCTACAAAAAAAATTTTTTTAATTGGCTGGGCATGGTGGCTCACACCTATAATCCCACATTCTGGGCGGCCGAGATGAGAGAATGGTCGATCCCACGGGTTCAAGACCGGCCTGGGCAACTTGGTGAGACCTCTTTTCTACAATAAGTAAAAAAATTAGCTGGGCATGGTGGCACATGCCTGTAGTTCCAGTTACTTGGAAGGCTGGGGTGGAAGAATTGCCTGAGCCCAGCAGGTCGAGGTTGTGGTGTTTGTGAGTGTGCCACTGCATTCCATCCTGGGCGACAGTGAAACTCCAACTCAAAAAAAAAAAAATTAAAATAAATCAACATATTTGAACGCAAGGCATCAGACTAGACCTTTCTCGAGTTTCCTCTTCGCCACCAAGTTCCCAAGAGACCCCCTGCCCACAGTGACTCGGGCAGCCTCCCTGGCTGGGTTCCTTTTCCATCTCCTAAAACCACACTTGACCGCCCCACATAATGTCCCGCCCCCTTGAAGAGTCACGCTTTCTCCCTGTCCCTCTCAGTAAGAAGAGGGATTTCGGCCGGGTATGGTGGCTCATGCCTGTAACCCCAGTGCTTCGGGAGGCCGAGGCAGGAGGATCACTTGAGGCCAGGAGTTCAAGACTAGCCTGAGCAACAACACAGTGTGACCCCCATCTCTATAAAAGGAGGCTGAGGTGGGAGGATTGCTTGAGCCCCCAAGAGGTAGAGGCCACGGTGAGCCATGACCGTGCCACTACACTCCTGCCAGGGTGACAGGGCAAGACCCTGTCTCAACAAAACAAAACATATTTGAACGTGACACATCAGACCAGACCTTCCCTGAGTGTCCCGCTTCAGTGAGGCTCCCGAAAGACATGCTGCCCACAAGGACCCAGGCACCTTTGCTGGCCTTCTGTCCATCCCTACCCTGATTCCTCTCTTCCCCCCTAAAACTACACTTGACCCTCCCACTCAACGCCCCAGTCCCCCAGGCTTCTCCCTGCAGCTCTCAGCTCAGCTTCTTCAAAGAAGAGAAATTTGGGACACCTGGTTCTCCTCCCTGCCCTGAAGCCCCTTCTCCCTACATCTAATCAGTCCTCTGGTTTCAATCTCTCTCTCCTCTTTTTTTTTTTTTTAAAATAGAGATGAGGTCTCGCTACATGGCCCAGTCTGGTCTCAAACTCCTGGGCTCAAGCAATCCTCCTGCCTCGGCCTCCCAAAGTGCTGAACTCACAGACGTTGTGATACCACGCCCAGGTTTTGATCTCTTGACATCTCACACAGCCAGACTCTCACTCCTATCTCCCTAGCCCCTGCTGGAGACAAGGCCCTGGGTGCTTTCCGCCACCATCAGCAAAATAAAGCACATTCCTTTCCTGCAGGACTTCTCAGGGTCTTAGGGATGAAAACACGTGAGCTAGGGCGAGGCGAACGCTTACCAAACACTCATTCTATGCTTGTGTTCTGTCTTCCCGCTGTTTGCATTTGGGCCTGGGTAGTTCTTTGTGTTGGGGAAAGAGGCTGTCCTGGGCATTGGAGGCTGTTTAGCAATATCCCTGGTCTCTACTCACTAGGTGCTACTAGAACCTTCTTCCCAAGTAGTGACAAGCAGAAGGGCTCCAGACACCACCAAATGTCTCTAAGGGACAACAACATGGAGAATTACTGCCCTACACTATAAACTATTTATTTTTCTTTCTTTATTTTAATTTTAGTTGTTTTTTTGTAGAGACAGGATCTCCCTATGTTGCCTAGACTGGTCTCAAACTCTTGAGCTCAAGCAATCCTCCCACCTCCTGGGTACATAGGAATACAGGAGTGTGCTACTGCACCCTACTAAAATGTTTTTTGGAGCATTTACTGTACAGCAGTGCTGTTGTATAGATGGACAGTGTGAGTCTGCACAGGTAGTCTTACATTTTCTAGCGGCCACATTAAAAATGTAGGAATAGCTGGGCATGGTAGGTCAAGCCTGTAATCTCAGCACTTTGGGAGGCTGAGGCAAGAGGGCTGTCTGAGCCTGCAGGTTCAAGACCAGCCTAGGCAACATAGCAAGACCTCGTCTCTACAAAAAAAAAAATTGTTTTAAATGGCAGGGCACAGTGGCTCATGCCTATAATCCCAGCACTTTAGGAGGCCGAGGTGAGAGGACTGCCTGAGCCCAGGGGTTCAAGACCAGCCTGAGCAACCTGGAGAGAGCTTGTCTCTACAATAAATCAAAAAAATTAGTCGGGCGTGGTGGGGCACACCTACAGTTGCAGTTAATTGGGAGACTGAGGCGAAAGGATCACCTGGGCCCGGAAGGTAGAGGCTGAGGTGGTCGTGAGCATGCCACTGCACTCCAGCCTGGGTGACAGAGTGAGATTCTCTCTCTCAAAAAAAAAAAGTAGGAACAAGTAACATGAATATAGCCACATATCTTATTCAACCCAATATATATCCAAAATGTAATCATTTCAACATGTATTCAACATAAAAACATTATTAATACACTATTTCACATTCTTCTTTTTTTTTTGTACCAAGTCTTTGGAATCTGGTGTGTGTATATATATATATATATTTTTTTTTTGAGTCAGAGTATCACTCTGTCACCCAGGCTGGAGTACAGTGGCACGCTCATGGCCGCCACAGCCTCAACCTGCTGGGTTCAGGTGATCCTTCTGTTTCAGCCTTCCAAGTAGCTGGAACTACAGGCGCACACCACCACACCCAGCTCATTTTTTGGCTTATTGTAGAGCTGAGGTCTCACCCTGTTGCCCAGGCTGGTCTTGAATCCCTGGACTCAGGCAATCCTCTCGCCTCGGCCTCTCAAAGCGCTGGGATGACCGGCATGAACCACGGTGCCTGGCTGGAATTCGGGGTATATTTTACGCTTATAGCACATCTTGGTTCAGACTGGTCACCTTTCAAGAGGTTTAGGAGTCACATGTGGCTGGTGGCCCCTACATTGGCGCTCACAGGTCTACGGCACAGCTAGTACTGATGGATGGATAGATAAGATGCAAGGATGGAGGGGTGGATGAATCGAGACAGAGTAACTCCTGGGCTCAAGCGATCCTCCCACCTCAGCCTCTTAAGTAGCCGGGGCTACAGGCACAAGCTACCGTGCCCGGCCGTTTCTTTATACTGTGGCCTCCTATGCATTCATGCATTTAATCCATACAACACTGATTTTTATATCCATTGTTCAGATGAGAAAACCAAGGCTCAGGCAGCTGAGATGACTTGCCCAGGATCCACCCAGCTCGTAAATGGCAGCGCCCACGGGAACCCAGTTTCCTTCGCAGATGATCACATGAGTGTTCTGACACTGTAAGAATGCCCATGCAGTGTTTCCCAAACCTGCTGAACACGGGCCCCTTTCACCTTATCTCTGAGCCTGTGCTCTGTGTGCATTCCTACCGGGCCCTGTCACACCTGTGCCTGGGGCCACCAAACAATCTGTCACTTCCTCCCAGCCAGTATTCCCTATCCCCACTGCGGCAACTGCATACCTTACTGTCAGTTGTCAGTCCCAAACATCTTCCATGGCTCCCCAGTGCCCTCGGATCCCCACCCACGGCCTGAGGGGCTGTCCCCTGTCTCACCAGCCTCCCTTGTCTTCTGCCTCCCCCCGGCTGCCACGGGCCCCTGCATGTCCTTCTCTGAGAACTCCCTGCTGATCCACGCTCTGTGGCAAACTCCTACACATCCTCCAAGGCTCAGACTCCTCCCTCCCTGGGAGATTTCAAGAATTCCTCCCCTCCCACCCCCAGGCCCCACTGCTGCTGGGCTGCTGGCCTCCACCTCGGCAGACCTTATCGCTCCAAGTGGCAGGATCTGGTTTCATGCCCAGCCCCCTCTCCTGCGTCTGTATCTGTCCTGTCCTCGACACCTGGAGCGTGCCCAGCCTGGCACCTGGCAATCATCGGCCAAGAGTCCTGGAGCTCATGAACCTAGTTCCCCACTTCTCCAGCTCC